AATAGAATAGAATAGAATAGAATAGAATAGAATAGAATAGAATAGAATAGAATAGAATTCTTTATTGGCCAAGTGTAATTGGACACACAAGGAATTTGGTGCATATGCTCTCAGTGTACATAAAAAGACAAGATACATTCATCAAGAATCATAAGGTACAACACTTAATAATAGTCATAGGGTGAGATTTCACTCTTAAGGAAACTATAGTTAGAAAAGATAACTTTTCCCTCCTACTCCCCTTCTGCACAACCAGAGACTGCCAAAAGTGTTTTTCAGATATAATTTAGCTTGATGACAATTGGAGATACAGTGGAAGGGAGAATGAGAAACAAAGCTTTCTGAGGTCTTTTTTGTCAAAACTTGCTGAAGATGGGTTTGAATTCACCTATTCAAATTCAAGAGCAACCTGAAATATAAATAGTAACTTCTTCTGATCATTGATCAATACATTTCTTGGATATTTAAATTCTTTGATATCAATGTTCACAGCAAACCCATGTTATTCAGTGGAAATTCCAAGACTTTAAATAGCTAAAATTTGTCATTTAAAAAGCAGATAAATTTAAATAAATTCCTAAATTTATAAAGTCCAACATTCAGGACTTTATTGAGGACACAAAGCTTTGATTTAGGTGAATTCCATGACTAGAGACACAGGTGTCTGTTTCTAAACATGACAGAACCAAAATGACATATGTTCTGACCTCATGATACATGCTGTGAAAGTTTATATTTGGATCCTGCATCATGTAAAGAGCAGAATTTGTATCAAAACACTACAACACATGTTGCTTGGGATACCTACAGCTGCCAATAAAGGGGATAGTTCAGTGCATGAACAAGAATTTTTGTTTTTTAACATAAACATGTGAATTATGTGAAATTTTCCAGAGCTTATTAAATCAGAGTTTACACGACAGTAGTATTTTGCATGTGTCAGACGCCAAATTGTTAATACATTAGAATCAACTCTTTAGTTTTAGCCAAGATAGGAAATAAAGGAAAACTCGTGTTGCAATTCTAGTAAGTAAATTGTGGATACTATCATAACTATACCTTGTTGGTTTGTAGGGTGTAAATATTATGTTAAAGATCAAAGTCACAATTCCAGTTTTCAGATCTCGCTCTTTCTTTATCAAGTTTATTGCTACTGCAGATTTCAGCTGAGAATTCATTCTTTCAGATTCAAATTGAATTTCATACATAACGTCATCTGTTGTGGAGAATCCTGTAAAATCAATATAATTATCCAGGTAATATAAATGCATTTGGCTCTTTAAACAGTTTGAAATGTTAGAGATTTTAATGACCAAAGTAATTAAACAAGAAATACAAGTCAATTCCCCCAAGAATAGCTAAGCACAAACAAATTTTGCATTGCAAACCAATGTAAAGGTTGGTTACAATCATTTATGGATTTCTTCACATAATTTTTGTAGAAAAATGTCAAAACTGAAAAACCCAATACTCATCTATACAAGTATTATATTTATCAAAAAGAAGAAAGAGGAAAAGATATTTTTCAAACGTAATTAATTATTTCTGAATTGGAAAAATATCATATTTTCAGACAGAGATAATATTTTGTATGCGTATCTTCACATTGCGGTAAATGAATTTTACAAATACATCTTTTGCAGGATATTATAGCTTAGTTTAATGCCTGTGTAAAGCTTCCCAACAATGCCATAACGAACACATAATAAGAGCTAATTTTTCAATACAGAAACTAATGATTTATTAACAGCTTCATTAGGCAAGATTTATTCGCAGTGATTTCTTTTGCTTTGTCTATCTGCTTCTGAACTTTGCCCCTGTTCCTTTCCTCCCCTCACTCTATGTTATAAATCATGTTGCCCAATAAATACACCCAACTCAACCCAGCTACTGTAATGTAAGATCCAGCTTCACCGACGGTATGCGTGGAACAGTGACATGTGGTGAGGTTTATGGCTGGTGAGACAAGCGGGCAAAAGCCGCCTCTATGTCGGAGACAGCGGCAGGGCATCTGACCGCCCTGCTGCTGTGTCTGAGATAGAGGTGTCCTGCCCCTATGTTGGACACAGCGCTGGGGCATCCGGACACCCTGCCGCTGAGTCTGACATAGAGGTGTCCCGCTATGTCCAAAAGCTCTGCTGCTATGCCCAAAAGCCCTGCCGCTATGTCCAAAAGGTGTGCCGCTATGTCCAACATAAAAAAGTGCCAGCCCACGAGCCAGCAAAGGCGGGTAAAACACACACACACANAGTCCCCTCCCAAATACCATGCCCCCCCTCCCCGTTTCAATGGCAGCTGAAGCAGCAGCAAAGCAGAGGCTGACAACTGGGGCATGCGAAGGAGGGCATCAGCTAGAAAGTTCCTCTCCCCTGGAATCAAACTGGTTGAGTATTGTTTGGGTAATAGTTTCTGCAGGGTCCTGAGAGCCTCCAGATTGTTGTGCTCAGTCCAGACTTCGAACGGTTTCTGGCCCCCTTCCAACAGGTGTCTCCAGGTTAGCAGTGCCCATGTCACTGTGAAAGCCTCCTTTTCCCATGCGGCCCATCATCTCTTTGTGTATGTGAGCTTGTAGGAGGTGTAGGTGCAGGGTTGTAAGTTTCCTTGGTTGTTTCTTTGGAGTAGCACTGCCCCCACTGTCATGTCGCTGGCATCTGCTTGGATCACAAAGGTTTGCTCGAGGTCAGGATGCTTCAGCACTGATTGCTTTGCAAACATTTCTTTTAGCATCACAAATGCCTCTTGGAAGGTTAGGTCCCACTGTAGAGGTTGTCCCGGATGAGATTTTGTTCCTGGGATCCCTGTCTTTAAGAGGTCTGTCATGGGTTTAACAATCTTCGCAAAGGAGGGGATGAATTGCCTATAGAAGTTTGTGAACCCTAGGAAGCTTTGTACTTGTCTGCGGATGGAAGGAGATTGCCAGCCTAGGACAGCTTGTACTTTGCTGGGTCCATATCTATTCCCTCATTTGACACTCGGTAGCCCAGGTAGTCTAGACATGCATGGTGGAATTCACATTTTGATAGCTTGACGTACTGGTTAGCTGCCAGAAGTTTTTCCAGTACTTGGCGGACCAGGGGTACGTGGTTGTTCATGGTCTCAGTGTAGATGAGGATATCACCAGGTAGATGAGGATCCCCTTGTAAAGTGCTTGTGCAGCACCTTCTTTATTAACTGCATGAATACCACTGGAGCTCCCTGTAATCCGAATGGCATGACTTTGAATTGAAAGCTCCCTCAGGGGCAGTTGAACGCTGTTATCCACTCATCTCCTTCCCTGATCTGTATTCAGTAGTATGCTTCTCTGAGGTCTAGTTTGGTGAAGACTTTTTCCTTGGCCAGGTGAGGTAGCAGGTCCTTCATGGGGGGGGAGGGGTATAGGTTGTGTACACACACCACATTGATTCCTCTAAAGTCCACACACAGCCTCATAGTTCCATCTTTTTTCTCTTTGAAGAGGACTGGCGCCGCGACCCATGGCTTTGCTGGCTCGATGAACCCCCTTGCTAGGTTTTTGTCTATGTATTTGTGCATTTTTTGAATTTCCTGGGGCTTTGTGGCATACAGTTTGGGTTTGGGTAGTTTTGCCCCAGGGATGATTTCGATGGTACAATCTGTCTCATGGTGGGGGGCAGAAAGTTCCACTCAGTCTCGCTGAATACTTCTGTGAAGTTCTGATATTCCCCTAGGATCTGTTCGGTCTCTGGGCTGTCTTTGGATGTGGCTCCCAAATGTTCTGATGTGCTCTTTTGGGAGGTTCCCTGCTTGGGTGGTGTTTCTGCTTGCTGACAGAAAAGGGGTTGGGGCCCCTTTTCTATCCTAAGTCTGTGGTACCCTCTTGCCACCAGATGGTTGGTCCCCACTTGTCTAGCCAGGAAAGTCTCAGTATGACTGCATCTGTCATTTTGGGGGTTATTATGACTCGAATTACTGCCCAGTGATCCACTAGCTCTAGTCTCACTGGTTTGGTCAGTTGGGTGGCATAGGCTCCCCGCATTAGGGACCCGTCAACCTGTTCAAACCAGATTGGGTGGGCCAGTCTTTTTGCTCTGATCCCTAGTTTCAGGACTGTGGTCAAGTTGATTAAGCATCTAGTGCAGCCTGAGTCTATTAGGACTTGAAAATCCCCCTGGCTTCCTGTCCTTGGGGCTGTGAGGCATATTGGAAAAAGGAAAGGGCGAATTGGTCCTCTCACAATTGGGTTGTTTCCCCCCTCGTCGTCACTGTCATAGGATTCTGGTGACTGGTTGTTGTTGCCTGGGGTTCCCCCTTTATCTGGGTGGGGAGGAACTTCTGCAGCCTGGAGGGCCTTCCAGGATGCGTTTGTAGCCTGTTTGTGGCCCCATTCCAGTCATGCCCTGGGTAGTGGCTCTGTCCTTGGCATCAGAGTAAAGGTCATGCACGCAGATGCCATATAGCCCACCCCTGCATCTGTAGCATTTCAGCGGACTTTGAAGGGGGGCTGGTTTCACTGTGTTGCTGTGGGTCCCCATTGGCCGGGCGTTTTCAGGTCGAGTTGACCTCTTTCTTTTGTGTCCAGTGGCATTCTTATGTTGTTAGAGTGCAATCCGCCATCAACCTTTATTGCTACTCGGAACCACTCAGAAAGTAGGTTCGGGGTGTCGCAGTAGGCAGTTACTTCGGCAATCTGCTGGTCCAGACTTGTTCTGAAAAAATACACTAAAAGATGCTCTGGTAAAGGTGGTAGCCTTCCAATGACTCTCCTAAATTCATGGATATGCTCTTTGATGAGATGGCAGCTCTTCTTTAGGTCACTGAGCTCATCTTCTGCATATGGGTCCTCCTCCATCTGCCCAAATCTGGCCTCTAGCAGTCATAGGAAGTCATCTATGTCTTACAGTTGGGGAACTCTCCTCTTGTGGAGGGCTGCTAGCCATTCCCTAGCTTCTCCCTCTAATCCCTCTGCAACAGTATTCACTATGGCTCTGGGACAGTGGTAGGTTTCAAAAAATTTTAGAACCTCTTCTGCAGGTATGGCCTGTTTTGTGGGACTGGTTGGTGGCCATGTGAACGGGTGGGAGTGGCTTGGAGGTCATGTGACTGGGTGGGAGTGACTTGGCAGTCATGTGACTGGATGGACATGGCCAACTTGCAAAAAGTGGTGAAACTCACTTAAAAACGCTCTTGCTTAGCAACCAAACTGTTGGCTCAGGAAATCTGGCATGGAAGTGTGCAAGTCTTAAAGCTGTCAAGTTACAAACCCCTAACCCTTTAGAAAAAAAACCCAGGGGTATTCAAACTTGACAGCTTTAACACTTGTGGACTTCAACTCCCAGAATTCCTCAACTAGCATGACTGGTTGGGGAATTCTGGGAGTTGAAGTCTGTACATCTTNCACTTGTAACCAAACAACATGCTGTATGTAATGGATGAGAAATTTTTATGTTGTTTTTTGTTTTTTTAAAATAGATACCAGCCATGAAAGCGAAAGACGTTTCAGCAGGAGTTTACCAGAGACAAAAGACTTTCTCACAACAATACCAGGAGACTCCATTGAACAATGTGACCTAGTCTGATTGGGAGAAGGAGATTCTGAACTTTGACTATGTGGGTTTGTGCGGAAAATGTTTAAATCTGGTTTTGCTCTCATCTGTGCTGAAATGAAGTACTCAATAAAGTTTTCCATTAAGAGATTGGATCATCTTGACCATGCTTGCTTTGGTTGGGTTCGTCAGTTGGAACATTAACACTTACTGCTCATAACACAATTATAACAGAAATACAATTTTGTCCTATTTTATCTGGAACAGTAGGGCAAGCATTTGCTGTTGGTTCAAACCCCTACTGGGATCTTGGCATTTTCCTTCCCCTCTGGAGTGAAAGAATTATAGCAATTTCCCAATCCCCCTCCCATTCTTGTATAATAATTGGAGAGGAACATTTGCTCATTGAACAATCACCAGGTTTTCCAGGTGGTTGTTTTGAAGATAACACTCTCTTGTGTCCTGGCTTGACCTTCTTAAGGAAAGTAAAACCCAAATCTAATAGTAAGTTAAAAATTAAAAACTACCATGGATTAGATTTTGGAGAGATTCAATAATTTCACAGTTACAGCAATTGTTAATCTGCTTTAGAATTTTATTCTGATACCATATGTTTTTCACCTATATGCTATTTGTATATGAACAGTTGAAGAAAATGTTCAGTGAAGCATTGTATTGATTAATTTTGTGGCTTCTACTACTTATATCATGATGAAATGGTAACTAGAGT